CATAAACAGCTTTTTATAAGGTAAAAATAATAAAACAAGGTCTTTGTCTGCAATGATTAGACATGTTTTTTTTATTATTTTCATCAGTGATTATCTCAATTTCGGCTAAAAGAATTGACAACATCCTACACACTGTGCCTTTAAGTGTTTGAACATGTGTGACTGATTACACTTTATTAAAATTGGGGACTTGGCCCCTCTATAAATATTGTGACCCCTTGACGGCTCCATACTCAGAAAAATCCCAGATCCACCACTGGCCATATAGCTAATCTCCCCCTACAGACCACCACCTCAGGGAATTCCATTGACACTGGTTTGATGTAGTAGCTGGGAGTCATACACAACACATACTCTGACCACACATTCATCATGAGATCTCATAACATTACTGAGGTCTGACCAAAACAGCTCCAACTCATTTATCATTTGAGTCCAGGAAGACCGCGAGCGACGTGCATTCCTTGAAGGAATGCTAGGCCTTTAAACTGGGAGAGGTGGGGGGATGGAGGGTTGTTTTTTCCCCCCCAGGTGTTGCATTTAACTCCGCCCACCGGTTGTCCGCCTGGCCTGCCCCCTGTCCCTCGCGGCTGCAGCTCTGATTAGGGGGTAGGGGGGATGGGGACGGGCCTGCAGACATGTAGGGGTTGTTGGTTCTCGCAGCAGCCCCCAGCAGGCAGACCAAAGACCAGACCAGAGGAGAAGAGAGCTGCCGGTGTACAGGAGCCAGTCTGAAGCTGGGGATCAGCAGGAACTTTTAAAGATCCTTTCAGACTTTGTTCCTTTGGATTCGAACCAGCAGCAGGATGTCGGACCCTCCAGTGAACGACCATCTCGCTGGGATTTTATCAGATTTTGAAGGTATGCGGGCGCTAATATTGAATTACTTTACTGCAGGCTTAAAGCTAAATTTGCTCTTGCACTCTCAGGCTCCTTTTTTGTCAAAGAGACCAAAGTTTGGTAAAATAACTAAAAACAAACAAGAAACAAGAAAACAAACAAGATACTATGGTCGAGCAGAAATAAATTGCAACAATGCAAAAAAAAAAAATCTTTAAACTGAAGCAAAAAAAAAAAGTCCTATGGTTTTCTGTTGTAGTTTTAAATAGAAGTCAGACTTGTGCTTTGTGAAACAAATGTGATTTACTTTACAGACCACGTGATCACTTAACAGAACTATGGGTTTTTAGATTAGTTTATGATCGATTAGTTTATGATCGATTAKTTTATGATCGATTAGTTTATGATCGATTAGTTTATGATCGATTATTTTAAATAGAAAAAATACATAAATAAAACAACAGAAAAAAACACTAATTTAATCATAACGTTTCTGCCACCAAAAGTAACTGTCTGGTAAAGCCTTTGAGTTCTTACAGTATAATTACTAGAATCAAATATCAAATAGGTTTCCCCCCGCCCCCCTCTGGTTTTTGTTACATTTTAGGACYCTTTCYTGTTCAGGACCAGTAGACCTTATGGGGACCAAAGCCCATGTGGATTATTATTTTCGCCTGTGTGAACTACTGGAGATGATTAGGGTCAGGGCTAGGGGACCCAATGAATAYAAGTCAATACAATGTCCCAATAAAGGTAGAAAAACAAACTCTTGTGTGTGTGAGAGGGGTTATTCAGAGGCAGTAAATTCAGAGCTGCTGTGCCTCAGAGACTGTTGGGTCTCTGTTTTCTGCTGTTTCTTCCTGACTTCGTTAATTGGATTAAAAAAAAAAGGTTAGAATCACTCTGCAACACTCACTTTATTTATCAATGGACAGTTTTATTTACTATAAGCGCAAAGAAAAATATTTTTATATTTAAATATTCAAATATTACTTAGTTGTAGATATTAATCCAGTAATTATTTTCTGAAAGTTTCAATAAAATTAGCCCATGTGTTGTTCAGATCTATTGCTAAAGTTACAGACAAGCACACACATGCAAGAGCAAAAACATTAGTGCCCTTTCGCCTTTGGCAGCCAGCAATAAGTTTTTGGACTTCATAATTTTATTTACTTTACTCTAATCCTAATCTCAATCTACAGAAAACACAACACAGTTTTTCACCTTAGACTTAACAGGCGTTAGCAAGTAAAAMTGTACAAAAAAAGTAAAAATAACAAAATAACAGTTTATATTGAGTAATGATGTGCTATGTATCGTCATCAATSCATGTTCCCATGCAATTATGACGTCTTGGCTCTGCATTTGACCCATCACACATGAGATACGCCCAACTGGAGCAGTGGGCAGCTGTGGAAGTACCCGGGGAGCTTAGGGATGGACGTCTTGCTAAAGGACACCACGACATGTGGGCTAAGTGGGGGATCAAACCTGTGACTTTCTGGTTCCAAGACGACTGTTWCACCACTGTATCACAGCCAGAGAAGTGATATATACTGTAGGTATGGACACATTAAATGATAGAAGGGGCCACAACTTTTGGTTGACACAACTAGAGGGTCACATAGTGTTGCACACTTACCCAAATATAATAAAACTGCCATTTAAAAAATGTTTGTGTTTATATGTTCATTCAACCAGCATACAGTTCAGTAACTTAACATATTTCATGCTCAAATGCATTTTTAACAGTTGGACTCTTGTTTAATAAATATGAGTACAAAACATTTGAAACAAAAAAAAAAATAGCACTTGATGTGATTTCTCTTTTTTCAGTACAAATGGTTCTCACAATCATGAAAATAAAAAAATACAAATCCCCGAACTTCTCATATTTAGCTTTGTGCAACATGTAGTGGCAACATATTAACATGGCAGACAGCATCTCTAAGCAGAAAAAACACAAGTTTGCTTTGAAATTCTCTGAACAGATAGTCTACCTCCCATTTCACCTGAAACATGCAACTTTTCTCTGTCTGGTTTTTATCTTTCCTCTGTTCTTATCCATGGCTAAACGTCTCTTTCTCAAGACTCAGTGAATGATTGCATGAGGCAGTGATGTTGAAGTGTTGTAGTTTGAAATTGTTTAGGTTAAAATGATCGTATTTTGAGGAAAACTATTGTAAGCACTAATTTGCATTCTAGTGGTTCAGAATTACAAATCCCTCGTGTCATGTATCCAATAAACTACATGTTCTTTTGGTTATAATAAAGGTAAAAAAGCACTGTATCTTATTGTTCAGTTAGGAAAGTGGAGATTGACTGTCCTTTTTTTAAAATGAAAACTTTATTGTGAACAAGAACAAAACACAAATCAGTGAGAAACAAGTTAAATCAGAACGCTTACAAAATCAGTTTCCTTTGATTAAAATTAGCTTTTGTGTAAATGACATTTGGCCTGGATGATTACGAAATTGCTAAAATTTGTATTTTTAAATTTATTTTTATATTTTGCAAGAAAAAGTTAAGTAACTGGCCATAGAAGAATAATGTCTTGAGAGACATTATATCAGTAGAAAAAATTTTACTCTCTCAGTTCTACCCTCCTTTTTATTTGAACTTGGGACAGACAAAAATAGACACTCAAARTTATTTTATTGCAGAGATTTATTTTAGTCATGGAAAATTTGACATTTACATCCCACTGTCAGTTCATAGCAGCCTCGCACAAGACATGATTTGTTTAGAGTCTGGATGTGTTGAAGACCAGGATGATTATCTGCCTGCAGCTGGTAGGAACACTGAAAATGGTCATTCTGTTTGCATTGTCGATATTTCGGCAACAGAATGATGCAATTTTCATCATTCAACAATTCGAACCCATTTCGGCAGTTCGGATGGAGTATGCAGAAGCTTTGAGTGTGGACCTGTTGGTGCTTTGGGACTGTTGAGGAGGATCTCACTGCAACACCCGCTGTTCATCGGAGAGCTGTGTTCCCGCAGAGTCTCTAAAGCCCTGTTTACACAATTCAGATTTTGGTTGAAACCACAGGATTTTTGCTGCAGTTCAGCCGATCCACACATGACACCAGCCGTCATTCTCTCTGAAGCTGGAGGTTTCTGAATCCTGGTCTCAGAGTAGAGATTTTCAGGAGCACAACCCCCCCAAGAGGTATGATATACCCAGCTGGTGTGAAAGTGCTCAATGCGCAAACCATTTGACAACCCTGCCTGGTACATTACTGCAGTGGTTCCAWGTAAACGGATGATTTATTTTTTGTATTCACACCAGTAAACATTAGTATTTCCAGAGACCGGTCTCGTGTAAACTGGTCCTAAAAGTCTCAATAAAACCAGATAACTTTTGCTAATCACTGATCTGAAAAGGAGTCACTAGAGGGGTTTGAAAACTCACTAAATGTAGCCACAAAGTTGCTAAATTTGCCAAACTGTGTTCCACAATCTGCCTCTCTTATGTCAGACAGCTGTGTTGGGTTAATTCAGCCATGCATTGAAGTAGTTTAATATCATACATTATGCGATCATTTTCAATGTATTCTTTGTGTCTTCCTCTGTCTTCATAAAATCATTGCGATCACATGCACGCTGCTTATAAAGTTTACTGAAATGTACAAAATTTACGTAGTGTAAAAAGAAACAAGTCTTGGCAAACCCAAAAATCAGCCCAGTGGCCTGAGTGTGTCCTGAGGCTGTCGCAAACTGAAAGAAGGTATCGTAAAACCAAACAGGGCGTCGTAATAACACCTGGTACAGGCTGCCAGTTGCCCATCTCTGATATACTGCATATAGTAATCAAATGAGGACTTAAAAATACAAAGACATATATGTACTGTATATCATGATAAAGCTTCAAATTTTTGTGAATATTATTTTTGTTTATAACATCCAGTAGAGCTGGGCGGTATTACCCAAATTTTATATAACGGTATTTTCAACAATTACACCGGTTTTACGGTATTTGACGGTATTTTTTTCCTCACAGGTCAGTTGATAATATAATGTACAAACTTTGCTTATTGACTTTTTTCTTTTATCACTGTTTCCCTCCTCTTGTACATCTTTTCTTCTTTGTCTGGTTGTAGACAGTAATCATGCATTTTGGTCAGATCGTGAAGGGTTGAGAAAAAAATCATTATCTGGTCTATCGTTACGTGTTAATAAAACACGTTAATAAAATAAGGATGACTCACCTTGCACACTAGTCAACTCCGCTACACTACAAAGCTACTTTCCCCTGGGCTTTTCACAATAGAAGCACGCTAGAGTCTCCATGCAATAACGTCTCCGTTATAACGTAGCGCATTAAATCTAACCGTGCATGTCACTGAAGAGTGGTTTACTATTCAGCGATGGTGAAAACGGGATGTTTTTTTTTTACATTAGACCATATAAGTGGCTGAAACAAACCACCTGCCGCCAGTGGTTCCAATAATAACGTTAGCATGCTAATGCACTTAGCGGTGCTGCAACAAAATGTGTCCCCAGAGAAACAGCTCACTCGCGGCTGCGACGAAACGTTCCACACACGTTCAGGCTATACCGGTATTCAGAAAAGTCATATCATAACAAAAATAAAAACCGGTTTTCAGTACAAAACGGTATACCGCCCAGCACTAACATCCAGCCCAAATCTGAGTTATATTATTAATTTGACAAGAACTCGATTGAGAGCTGTTCGACTTCCATTGCTGTAGTTATCGCTTGATGAGCTAAATTACCTAACACAGCCATCATAAGAGAAGTAAAGGCTAATACATTAACAAATGTCTGTTTTCTTAAGCTTTTATTAAACAAAGTGGAATATAGGATGTTGTATAGGTAAGTGTTTCTTTGGTTTATTGCTTATTCTGATTGAATTTGGTATAATGTGCTTTGTCAATTACGGCACAACAATCTGAGCAGATGTCATCTCATAATCACCTGAATAAACCCAGTGCAGATGTTAAATCAGCTGACATCTGTCAGCACACCGTGTTTCACTGTGTGGAATGCTGTGTTCC